CGTCCGGAGCCTGTGCTCCGCAACGGGAGAGGCCACAACAGTGAGAGGCCTGTGTACGGCAAAAAAAAAAAAAAAAAGTAAAATGTTGAGGACCAGGGGATTTTTTTCCATCCTAATTCCCATAATTAAATTGTCCTTGATAAATGCAGTGGGGAAAGTCGCTGTGCACTGGCACTGGGTTTTGAACTTAGAGTTTGTCTATCTATTATAATACAATTAAAAGATAATAGGGTTAGGGCTCTTAATTCAATAACAAGACACATAAACTGTGATGGAAGTGGGTTTCATAATTTGTAATAAATCACTGAGAGGAAATGTGCACATCATGTGTCTCACATATTTCCATTTGGTGGGTCAGAGTTTAAGGAACTAAGCTGTAACTAGAGAATTCAGTCACTGCCTGAAAGGCTGCTGCTGCTTTGCCTAAGGATGGCTCTTGCAGGTTTCTGGCTGTTGATTTTCTCCGACAATGCCCTGACTTCCAGCTTGAGTTGAAATGAGATTATTTACAATTACTAGATATTTTAAAATACAATTTTGTTGATTGTGATAGGAAAATGTAAAGAATAAAATAAAAATTTTCACTAATTTTACCACCTATATTTTGACATATAACCTTACAACTTGTTTCAGTGCATATATATATACATACACATATATGGGTATATATGTATATAAAAACACATATATATTGAATATCTCTCTTATTAATGTGTCTATTAACAAAATCTGGTATAATAGCATTAAAATATTATAGAAATTTCATTTACTATACTTAAAATATATAGCTAGAATTTTATAAACTCTTAAAGAACATGATTTTTAATGGCAACATAATTTACTATTGGCTTTTTTTCTGATATAGTTGCTGTGTGAGATGTATTTTGGTTGCTTCATTAGAACTAGCTTGACTATAGGTACGGTTCTCATTTTTGAATGGTCATTTGCTCATACACTACTTTTGTAATGACTTCCCATTGGAGGATGACTGCTTGAGCAACAGCTCATTGTTCCATTGAAATCAGGCTTTATTGGCTTTATGAAATTCATGGGCATTTCTCTAGGTAAAGCAGTCCTTCTCAGAATAGGTTAAACTCTTATAAATTGGGTACAGAGTGGGTTTGGGGGTTGTTTTGTTTTTTTTTTTTGTTTTTTTTTTTTGTTTTTTTGCTTTTTGTCTTTGTTTTTTGTTTTGCCTTAATTATAGGAGATATGTATTTGGGCCATATCCAGGAAACTCTAAATCTAAAAATGTTTACAGTAAGACCATTTTCAAATTTGGAATAAATAATTATAAGAAAATTAGTCTTCTGGATGGCTTCCAAAAGAAAATTGGCCAAATAGTGATTGGCTGTACAGAGATAGGGTATCTGTGAACTGAAAACAAAAATAAAGAAAAAACAGAACACAAACACACACAATAATTCTGAGTCCAGAAGGGGGAAACGCTTTGCTTTAATTTGGGAAAGAATAAACTAACTTATTCCCATGGAAACCAAACCATTCCTCTCTTTAACAATGAAAAAACACAAAATTAGACATATGAACTATTCTTTAAGATGCAGATTGTTTTTAGTTAAAAAAAAAAACTACAAAGCAAATGGCTTTAATAATACTTACTTTATTTACCAAGAGTTTATGCAGTAAAATATCTTATTCTCTTCTTATAGAAAGGCCAAATCACAAGCTGGTGAACTAAACTAGGAGTCTTTGTTAGCTAATTAATCAGGTGGGGAATGATCTAGTGGAGTAAGATTTAATGGGAGTATGCTTTTTCTCTCTATTTTATGTGATAGACTTTTCCCTTGTGTGTAAAAATATTTCTGTCAAATTTTCCTACATAAGCCTCCAGTTTCCCATCTAAACTGCAAGCCTTTATATTTTCATAAAAGTCAAGGTTTGTGAAACACATGTTAAATAGTTAAGGAATAAAACAGCAAGTACAAAAATAGTAAGAGTTAATAAATTAAACATTTTAAATCATTCAATATATAATCAAACATAATGAACTTGGTAGATATTTAATTATTTTCCCACTGATTCAATTAGAATTTTATTCAGCTTCACATTAAGCCATGATTGTGGCTTAGTCAAAAAGAGATTTATTTATTTCATTCAACAAGAATTCCAGGTATAGGCATTTGAGGGCTAGTTTGGTAACTCAATTATTCCATTGAAGAAAAAAGCTAAATCTGTCTTCCTGTTTTATCATCTTTAGTGGAGGATGTTTTACATACATGTTCCAGAGTAATAAAAGAAGAAAACAGAATAGGGCAAGAAGATTTTTGCTTATATCTCATTGGCAGAACTATGTCAAGTGGTCATCTCTAGTTGCAAGGGAGACTGGGATATTTCACAAAAGCATAATTAGGCTAACTAAAAAATTCCCTGTTTTATATATTTTTAGTAACTTGTCCATTGCTGTTAAAGGCAAAATATATTTATATGTTGCTGAGTGAATGAACTTGCTGAGTGAATGAACTTACTGTATCTGTCACCTTCCACCTCTCTGAGCATTCTGTATTTATACACAATATTTATATCTTTCTCTGGACTTTAAATAAAATGAATTCATCCTCTGTCTTCCAAGGCAGATAATCCCCAAATTATATCCAGTTACTGTATTTAGCTTGAAGTCTAGGATATTTGGGTAATCTCTCCCTCAGCTACATGTTTGGTTCTTTGTGATCCTTAGGTCTATACACTAAAGACAAGTCATCTTCTTCTAACATTCCCAATGTATTACTGTGGAGAGAGAAGAAAATAGGATAATAGCAATTTAAAAAGTCTTATTCAGTAAGAGGGAACGTAGAAAATATATGACTGTCGGTGGTACATAGCAAATATAATAGAGTCCTGCTGGGTGGGTTACTCAGGACTTCCTGATGCTAGCAGCAGAAGTAGTTAGTTGGCTAGCCAATTTGGCAGGCCCTGGTACTTCTTTCTTGGTGAATTTCTTTTATCTTTTTTCTCCAAGTCCTTGGTTCTACATCTGGGGAGACCTTCCTTGACCAATGTGTCAATGCCTACTAAAATGAAAGTAAAAGAAAGAGGGCTCCAAAAAGAATTAAAAGGCATTGCATATCTATAAAAACATAAATTGGGACCATCCCAGGAAATCCAGGTAAATGGTTTTCCTAGCTGGGAAGAGATTCTCCTTGGAGTCCATTTCCTTTCATTGTGAGTTCAAGGACCCAGAAATTACTTTAAATACAGCTGTAGTGAGCCTGAGGCACATTTGGAAATACCATGGTCTGGAAATTTTACCAGGCTTCCAGGAGGTGAGTTTCAAGACCATTTTATGAGTAACCACATCAGCCTGGAAAATGTAACTTGTTGCTACTGACTCCTTTGTTCTGACCAATTCCTCACTCTTAACCTAATGGCTGCTGCCTCAGCCCCTGCAAAACTGCATGCCAAGGTGCAACACCATTAATCTGATCTTTGCCACTAAGTTCTCCTTCATTGTCACTTAGAGATTTCCTAAAGGAAAGTGTATGAAACACCCTGGGGCAACAGTTTCGTATGTTTTTGAAGTTGCACTCAGAAACCTCTGCTTATATACATACATCTTGTATACAGAAGCAGCTGGCTGTTCTCAACCCTGCAGGGTTCCAAATTATGATATTCTCAGTCAATTTATATTGCAGAACACAAGCAGAGTGAGCCTCTGCTTGTAGGGAAAGGTAGCTGTGCTCCCTTGGCATCTCTGCTTAGAGACTCTCTAGCTCTAGTTTGAGTGCATCTCTACCACAGTACACTTTTGAAAGCAGCAATATTTAATAAGCACATGCCAGTATTCTGAATTTTATTCCTACCATTCATGCTAATAAAAAAGCTTCAGTTGGCATGTGGTCACATTTCCAAAGTATAGCAAGCAAAAGTTTGACCAGCAGTTTTGCTACTGCATTTCAAAATGCATTAGCTTTCGAGCCTGAGGTAATTAAATCTTCACTGTTTGCACTCATTGTCTCCTCCAGAGAGTCAATTTCACATTTTAAGGCCTATTATTGAAGCTCCCTTCATTCTTTAAAAATTATTTCATTGATCAGTATTCTTAGTTGCAAACAACAGAGTCTACTCTAGTTAGCTTACACAGAAAAAAAAAATTATTTCATAGACTCTTAGGTCACTCAGGAATTTTTGGAGAGGTCCAAATGCCCACCTCTAAATCTACTGTGCAGAAACAATGTCCAATTATATCATGGGGTTTCTTTGGAGAAAACATCATTGCCACCATTGATCAATACTTTGTCCCTCAGGACTGAATACTGGAGACTCTACAATAAAGTACAAAAGACCACCACTATTGTTGCCGAAAGAGCAAAACCCCACAATACAGTCACTGGCTCGCTTTGCTCAATTTGAGTTCAGATCTTGCTTGAATGCAGGTCAAATATCTGGACCGTAACTACAAAGGAATCTAAGAATGTATTTGATCTAGCTTGTCTTGAGAAGACGAGGAACTTAAGGAGAAATGTAGCCAAAATGGAAGGAGAATGTTTAAAGATGCTGGGTATCCATATGTGATGATTTGATTTAACAATATCTTACATGCTTACTGGGCTTTTTAGCTTATCAATAGGACTCTGTGATGTCCACTTCCTCAACACCCATTGCAATTAAGTTATCTTTATGGTACAGAATTTTCTGAGCATGGACATGTTATCATAGATAACTGTTGCAAATAAGAGATATACCTTAGAGAAAATATCCCAAAGATTTCTGATCCATATTTGATTACGTCCAGTTCAATTAAAGGAAATAGAATGGAATGGGGTAGGATTTTCTCTTATTAACATTACTTAACTATCACAACTTTTTTTCAATATCCCTGATACCTGCAACATCCCATGGGTGGAATAGTCTGTGGGAAATCTTATTTACTATGTAATATACTATGCCTTTCTGGCTTAGATAGATTTAAAACAAGTTGCTAACATCAGATGCCATTTAGAGAAGTTATCACTGGTTGTTAACTTATCCACATCTGTTTTCAGTGAGTGCCATAACTCCACAGATCGAATCAAAGTCAGAGTGTGGGATGAAGATGATGACATTAAATCCAGAGTGAAGCAACATTTCAAAAAGGAGTCAGATGATTTTCTGGGACAAACAATTGTAGAAGTGAGGACCCTGAGTGGAGAAATGGATGTCTGGTACAATTTAGGTGACTGTCTTTATATCTACTTGAAAAATGTTAAATAAAATTCCAGAATATCTGTGGAAGGTATTATATTCCTATATAGGTAAAAATAACCAGTGCTTTTCTCGAACATTCTCATGGACTTCAGGCAGTTTAGTTTCATTAGAAATTAAGGTGATAATTATTCAAACTCTGTATTATTGAAAGATATTGGTAAATTTGAGATGAAAAGAGAAAAGTCTTTCTAGGAATCAACTGGGTGTCTTTTAGGAGAAAAATATCCCATTCTGAATTTTTAATTCATAACATATAGCTTCAAAAAACCTTGCCAAATGTATAGAAAATAAATAACCTATGACTTTATAATGTCCGACTTATTTCATTTTAGTCCCTTAGTGAATTTTGGCAATAAAGGAAAAGTGTATTTTGGATAGTTTGCAAAGATGATATAAAAGTAGGCTTTAGCAGGCAAAGCCAGATACACATGTGGACTTCTGCTTATTCTGATGATGAAGATATTGAGAATATGTTTAACTGGCATGATTTTAAAATGGAATTTTATTATGGAACCAAGAATTGAATAAAGATAAGTTTTAATTTGACTTTTACTACAATTGAATAATAAGCTAGAATCTTCAGTGCTGACTTAATAATAGTAAATATATATGGATTGCCTCATTTTCTATAAAGGATATGATCCAAAATGGCTTTATCATATCATCTGAAATGTTTTAATTAAATTTTTAAGGTCTGGTTGTGAATCTAAGAAAGGTTTACATACTCCCAGGATTACGAAGTGTTTCCATTTAGGATACCAACTTATCTTAGCAAATTAAAGAGTGCTTTTGACTTTTTAAAAACCTACGTACTTCAAGTAATGTAATATTTGGCAAAGTAAAGGGGTAAGGCCACAAAATTAATGAATATCTGAATTATATAATAATTTAAAGAAGGAGAGATATATAACTTATCTGAACATAGATGATTCAAGCTAGACTAAAAACTCGTTATCAAAAAATATTTTATTTTGAGGAAATCTTTAAAGAAAATTGGTGCTTCTCCATTATTGGCATAGAGGTTTTCCTTCACTTATAATGATAATCCTCCTGTATCTTGTTTATACTATTAAATAACTTTATATATGAAAACAGAGATGTTAGGCAAGGGTAAACTTCAGGGCATTAACTCTGCACAATACTCATAGGTTGCGTTTTAATTAAAGAGGCTTGCCTACATGAGTTTTTGTTTTTTGCAATAAGTTAACATGTTCTTGAATTGAGGGAGTTAGAATTCAGAACAGAAATTCCTCAAATTATTCTTTTGACAAAACTTACAAGGGTATATTTAGTTTGCAAAAGAATTTGAATGTGCTTTTAATAAAATCTGCCACCCAGCTCTTGTGCAGAAACAGTCCTTCAGTCTATGGAAAGAAAAACATGATGCAACAAACATGGACACCTTTGCCTGCTCATCCTCAATTCATACTTTTGTGCTGTCATTGCTGATGTTTAACCTTTAGAAGGAGAGAGAACAGGTCTTAGCTTTGTATAAAATCCCACAGTGGGTTCCATCCCCATTAGTACCATATTTTCATTCTTTGTGCAATGTTCTTCCTTCCTCATTACTTAGAATCTGTTCCACCATGGAAGGAGGACTTGGCCAAAAGTCCTAGGCATCTAAGCAGAGCCTGTGTCCCATGGATCCATTGTGATGATGGTAGTTAAAATGTTCCCCTGTGATTCCAGGAAAAGATCTGTGACAGAAAGGTCTCAGGACTTGACTTTCTCTTGGCTTCAGCAGAGAACTTCAGCATTTGTTGAGAATCAACTATCTCCCAGCCAATAGGAGAAACTCTCAAGATCCTGGCAGTCCTAAGGGAAGAATCGTCACAACACAATGACTATTAAATATTAACGATGAAAGTCATCAGACATTCCACAAGAAGAAAGTGGCCTATGTGATTTAACTGTATCTTATTTGGCTAAAAATACAGTTATGCTTAGAAAAAGGGGCAATTAAAGAAGTCTTCACTGCTGACTTTGTGTCACTCTCTCTCTTTACCTTTTGTTTTTGAGATGGGTCAGCTTGCTCCTTTATGTGTTTCATCAGGGCAGTAGGTATCAGACTTAGGTCTCCTACCTACATTCACACCGGAGGAATTTTGTGACTATGCTTTTCTTTCTCGAGCTACTACTCAGTTCATATTAGACACACGTGCATACACTTACACACACATTATTAGACTGAATTGGCTACATACTGATTCCATTCAAAGAAAGAGTGAATCTAACACATAAGTAAACACAGGCTGTAGACTGTAGGTCTTCATGAATCACTGACAAAGAAACCTAATAACAAATGTTTTTGTTAGAGCTTTGACTCATTTTTTCAAGGACAGAAAGAGTGGGGCTTTTAGATAAAATACTTTCCTCATTAATTTTTTCTTTTAGTTATTTTGCTTTTAATTGCCCAAATAATTAATTTCATTGTATAAACTGATCTAGTACACAGAAATTTATATCAGAATGGTAGGGTCTTCTGATTGAGCTTTTCTATTTGAAATATTTATATCACAGTTTGACAATCCCAGCGACATACTAGGCACATTCTTTTAAATTGTATTTAGCAGAATCATTATGGTTAATCAAACCTGATCTAGAAAAATGGCTTTTAGCAATATAAGCCCTTTTTTAAAGCTTTGGAGAACTTGTATAAGAAACATGATGTCAAAAATCACTGACCAGTTATTTTTTGCTTTATCAGAGAAACGGACAGATAAATCAGCTGTGTCTGGGGCCATTCGATTGAAAATCAATGTGGAAATAAAAGGAGAGGAGAAGGTTGCTCCTTATCATTTACAATATACATGTTTACATGAGGTAAGTAAATTGAATTGTATTAATAACAAAACCTAGGAAAGATTGTATTGTTTATGGATCATGCAACAAAATATTCGTTTTAAAAATAGAATTGAATTAGGTTTGTAAAATTGTCCCTGAAGTTCTTACTCTGTACTATAGCAAGTGATGTGCTAGGGTATCACATAGCCTATGTATTACCCCCTGAAGAGAGAGCTGGTTGTCTTTTTTTATTTCTTGCGGTACGCGGGCCTCTCACTGCTGTGGCCTCTCCCGTTGCGGAGCACAGGCTTCGGACGCGCAGGCTCAGCGGCCATGGCTCACGGGCCCAGCCACTGTGCGGCATGTGGGATCTTCCCGGACCAGGGCACGAACCCGTGTCCCCTGCATCGGCAGGTGGACTCTCAACCACTGCGCCACCAGGGAAGCCCGAGCTGGTTGTCTTTGAATGAGATTTAGAACAAACATACGAGGCGGGTTTTAATAAATGAGACAATAAGGTGATAATGAACAAGTAGACCAAATTAAATTACCGTTCTTCCAGGGAGGAAGAAGAATATTAGAAAGCATTCATTGAAGAAATAAGTCATGATATTTTGGAAGCATTGTAAATATATAGTTCTTTAATAATGGAGGAGAGGATCCAAATCATGATAGTTTTTGAGAATTCTGAGTAAGTGTTCAGCTTTTGTTGAAGATTTAATTAGTATTATCTATTAAATATAAAAATTCTGACGTTGTAGCAATGGCTTTGGAGAGCTAATGTAATTAGCAGTAATTTTGTCTTTCTTTTTCTGAGTACAACAGAGGGCTTTATACATACTGAAGCCTCCTCCATTTTAACTACCCTTTGCACAAACACATCTGGGTGGCGAGTATCAGAATATAGTTTTCCATCCATGGATAGTAGAGACTATACTACCCAGTAGAAGGAGCCTGGTTGGCTTAGAGAGAGGTAGAGACCACCCAATTTGAGTCAAAAGGGCAGATTCATCAGTTCTCGTTTGCGCCTCAGTGTAAATGCACAGACAGATAATCTTGGGCTTTTATTATTGGGTGCTTTGCAACTGAGAGCTTAGTTAGACATGTCACCAGAGCTTTTCCCTGATCCAAATGACACATCCCATGTATCAAAAAATATGAAGTGAAGCTGAGGAATATGCCTTTTCCCATGTTCAAAGGGTACAGAGGAAGTACCTTCCTAAGAAAGAAAAAGATAGCTGGGAGAATCTTTGCCTTTGTACATGATTTTTCCCAAATATATCTATGAAAATGTATATATGTAATTATTTTCACCTCCATTTTACTAAAGAAGGAAGTGAGGAACAATATTTAAGTCATTTACACATTATACAGTCATTAGATAGAGAACCAAGCCTTAATGTCCTGACTCCAGTATAGCCAGTGATAATCCGTCAAGAAAGGTGGTTCAGTTTTTAGAGCAATACCAATAAATCCCTTGAACTGGCAGGATGGGGAGCCAACACTGGCCTTAAAATGCGGGTAGAGATTTAGGATCCCAGGAACAGCATCATGCTTTGTTTTTCAGTCTTCTGTTGGTCCAAGCCACAAAAAGAAGTGAAATCCAAGAAAGGGTCCTTCAGTGACCCAGGCTGCCTCCATGCAGCAGTTTCTCAGCTTCTTCGAAGCAGAAAGGAATTCTTTGTAGTGATTTTTTTCATTTCAAAGTTCTAAAGATATTTATTTTCAACCTGAATTCATTGTCATGACTCATACCATTTTGCAGCCAAAGTCCTTTAGTATTATTTGCATACCTAGAGTGTGTATTAACATAGCCCAAACACATTGTTCGTCCAGAGCTTTATAATTTACTCAGAGCCCATGAATGCAAAAGATGTTCCAGAATGTAGAAATGTTTACATGAAAAAACATTTACTTCCTTCTAAAATGATTTGGTATATCTGAAACACTTAAATCATTGATTCCGTATAAACTGAGACATAAAATCAGAATTTGTATGAAGATGAGGTACGTTAGAATGAAAATCTGAGACATTTCTATTATTTATAGATGCTGATGAAACATTATATGCAATTATAAGTATAATTTACTGAAAGTTACAGTTAAATATATCTGGCCTAATCTGAGAAAACTGAACATTTGAAAACCACTTACTTTTAGAATTTGTTCCATTACTTGACTGAAGTGAAATCTAATGGTGGAGTGAAAATCCCAGAGGTCAAAGGGGATGAAGCCTGGAAGGTTTTCTTTGATGATGCCTCCCAAGAAATAGTCGATGAATTTGCCATGCGTTACGGGATTGAATCCATTTATCAAGCTATGACGTAAGTATTATAGAACATTTACATTATCAAAATCTCTGTTGAAATCCAAAGGGGGAATAGAAAGAGTGTTCATTTCCCTTCTAAATCAAATGAAATTTTGATTAAAAAGACAGTTACATTTGGGATGTAATTGATTGGATGCTGGCTACTTTCTCTACTACAGCTATAAAGTATTAAGGATTTGGTAACTCACTACCATCATCTTCCCAATTCTTATTCCATTCCCATGTGCTGTTCTTTGACTAGCAGCATTAGCAGCACCTGGGAACTTAGAAATGTGAAATTTCTTCCTTACTTCAGACCTATTGAGTCAGAATCTCTAAAGGGGAGGCCCAGCGATCTGTGTTTTAATATTCCCAACACGTGATTCTCATACACTCTGAAGTAAGAGAACCAATGCCTTACTTGATATCTGAGAAAACTAAAGCCTGATGATTAAAGTGAGTCGTCCAAGGTTACAGAGCCTGTTAGCATCAGAGACACATCTAGAGTCCTTATGGTGTTGACCGTAACTTTAGACTATATCCTTCCTTCCTATATTTAGCTCAGTGCTGCTACTTTGGCGAAACCAAGATTTATTGACCACCCGTAGAACCCAAACACTACAGTAAATGTGATCCTGTAGAAGTGAGCCATACAGAAACACACCCCTTACTGAGGAGTTTCAGTAAGGATTTAGAATGGGGTTATATTACTTGTCCAGCAGAGTTTATCTTTTGAAACCTGGTCTAAGTTTATAAGTGCATTCTGTTCAGATATAAACCATGTATAATATGTAAACTATGTACATATATTAGGACTATTTTTTCATATTAGAGATCAAATCATATTTTCATGTGAACAGAATAGATGCTGGCCCAGATAGTCAATCATTTTCAGCCAACTTGATGGGTATATTAGACCAAAATCTTCAAGGTTTATTGCTCAGAGAATTTAATCAACAGTCATATTTCTAGAACATCATATGTAAGAATGATTTTTTAAAATTTTCTGATAGTGTATGCTTTTTCAGTTTACAGAATTGTCCTCATGCTAAATAACAAAGGCTTACAGATTCTTAGGTATGAAGAGGAACTTAGAGGTCACCCAGTTGAAACTCCCTCTGAATCAGGAAACCCTGTTTTTGCATCCCTCACTAGTTGTTATCATCCCTTTGTTTGCTCACCTGCAGTAACAGGGAGCTCACTCCTTTTTCTTTTAATTGAAGTATAGTTGATTTACAGTGTTGTGCTAATTTCTGCTGTATAGCAGAGTGACTCAGTTATACACATATATCCATTCTTTTTTATCTTCTTTTCCATTATGGTTTATCCCAGGAGATTGGATGTAGTTCTCTGTGCTATACAGTAGGACCTTGCTGTTTATCCATTCTAAATGTAATAGTTGGCATCTACTAACCCCAGACTCCCAGTTGACCCCTCTCCCTTTCCCACTCCCCCTTGGCAACCACAAGTCTGTTCTGTATGTCTGTTTCTGTTTTGTAGGTAGGTTCTTTTGTGCCATATTTTAGATTCCACATATAAGTGATACTATATGGTATTTGTCTTTCTCTTTCTGACTTCACTTAGTATTATAATCTCTAGTTACTTCCGTGTTGCTGAAAATGGCATTATTTCATTCTTTTTTAGTATTCCATTGTATGTACATACTATATCTTCTTTATCCATTCATCTATCAGTGGACATTTAGGTTGTTTTCATGTCTTGGCTATTGTGAACATTGCTGCTATGAACATAGTAGGGGTGCTTGTATCTTTTTGAATTGTAGTTTTGTCTGGGTATATGCCCAGGAATGGGATTGCTGTATCATATGGTAGTTCTAATTTTAGTTTTCTGAGGAACTTCCATGCTGTTTTCCACAGTGGCTGCACCAACTTACATTCCCACCAACAGTGTAGGAACATTCCCTTTTCTCCATACTCTCTCCAGCATTTGTTATTTGTAAACTTTTTAATGATGGCCATTCTGACTGGTGTGAGGTGGTACCTCATTGTAGCTTTGATTTGCATTTCTCTAATAATTAGTGATGTTGAGCATCTTTTCATGTGCCTATTGGCCATCTGTATGTCTTCTTTGGAGAAATGTCTATTAAGGTCTTCCGCCCATTTTTCAATTGGGTTGTTTGTTTTTTTGTTGTTGTGTTGTATGAGCTGCATACAATATGTGTTGTGTATTTTGGAGATTAAGCCCTTGTTGATCGCATCATTTGCAAATATTTTCTCCCATTCCATAGGTTGTCTTTTTGGTTTTTTTGTATGGTTTCCTTTGCTGCATAAAAGCTTGTAAGTTTGATTAGGTCCCATTTGTTTATTTTTGGTTTTATTTCTATTGCCTTGGGAGACTGACCTATGAAAATATGGTACGATTTATGTCAGAGAATGTTTTGCCTGTGCTCTCTTATAGGAGTTTATCATGTCATGTCTTACGTTAAATAAGTCTTTAAGCCATTTTGAGTTTATTTTTGAGCATGGTGTGAGGGTGTGTTCTAACTTCATTGATTTACATGCATCTGTCCAACTTTCCCAGCACCAATTGCTGAAGAGACTGTCTTTTTCCCATTTTATATTCTTGCCTCCTTTGTTGAAGATAAATTGGCCATAGGTGTGTGGGTTTATTTCTGGGCTCTCCATTTTTTCCCCCATTGATCCGTTTTTCCCCCATTATCCGTTTTTGTACCAATACCACACTGTTTTGATTACTGTAGCTTTGTAGTATTGTCTGAAGTCTGGGAGAGTTATGCCTCCTGCTTTGTTATTTTTCCTCAGGATTTCTTTTGAAAATTCTGGGTCTTTTATAGTTCTATATAAATTTTTGGATTATTTGTTCTACTCCTGTGAAAAATATCATGGGTATATTGATAGGGATCACATTAAATCTGTAGATTGCTTTGGGTAGTATTGCCATTTTAACAATATTAATTCTTCCAATCCAAGAGCATGGGATATCCTTCCATTTCTTTGAATCCTCTTTTATTTCCTTTATTAATGTTTTAATATTCTCAGCATACAAGTCTTTCACCTCCTTGGTCAGGATTTATTCCTAGGCATTTTATTTTTTTGGTGCGATTTTAAAAGTTATTTTTTTTACATTCCCTTTCTGATATTTCATTGTTAGTGTAAAAAAATGCAACTGATTTCTGAATGTTAGTCTTGTATCCTGCCACGTTGCTGAATTCATATATTAGATCTAGTAGTTTTTGTGTGGAATCATTAGGGTTTTCTATATATAGTATGTCATCTGCATATAGTGACAATTTTACCTCTTCCCTTCCAATTTGGATACCTTTTATTTCTTTTTCTTGTCTGATTGCTGTGACTAGGACTTCCAATACTACATTGAATAGAAGTGGTGAGAGTGGGCATCCTTGGCTTGTCCCAGATTTTAGCAGGATGGCTTTCAGCTTTTCACCATTGAGTGTTATATTCGTTGTGGGTTTGTGATAAATAGTTTTTTTATGTTGAGATATGTTCCCTCTATACCCACTTTTGTAAGAGTTTTTACCATGAATAGATATTGAATTTTGTCAAATGATTTTTCTGCATCTATTGAGATGATCATGTTGTTTTTGACTTTTCTTTTGCTAATGTGGTGTATTACATTGATTAATTTGCATATGTTGAACCATCCTTGTGAACTTGGGGTGAATCCCACTTGGTCATGTTGTATGATCATTTTTATGTGTTGTTGGACTTGATTTGCTAATATTTTGTTGAGAATTTTTGCATCTATAGTCATCAAAGATATTGGCCTGTAATTTTCCTTTCTGGTGGTATCTTTGTCTGGTTTTGGTATCAGTGTGATGGTGGCTTCATAAAATGTCTTTGAGAGTGGTCCCTCCTCTTCAATCTTTTGGAAGAGTTTAAGGAGGATTGGAATAAGTTCTTTGTATGTGTGGTAGGTAGAATTCTCCTGTGAAGCCATCTGGTCCTGGACTTTTGTTTGTAGGGAGTTTGTTTTGTTTTGTTTTGTTTTAATTACAGATTCTGATTTATTTCTAGTGATCCGTTTGTTCAGATTATCTATTTCTTCTTGATTCAATTTTGGTGGGCTGTATGTTTCTAGGAAGTTGTCCATTTCTTCTAGGTTGTCAAATTTGTTGGCATATAATTGATCATAGTATTCTCTTATGATTTTTGCAGTATCAGTTGAGATCTCTTCTTTTCATTTCTTATTTTGTTTATTTGGGTCCTCTCTCTTGTCTTCTTGATTATCCTGGCCAGAGGTTTGTCATTTTTTTTTTACCATTTCAAAGAACCAGCTTTTGGTTTAATTGATTTTTTTCCTATTTTTTAATCCCTATTTTATTTATTTCTACCCTGATTTTTATTATTTCCTTCCTTCTGATGACATTAGGTTTTGTCTGTTCTTTTTTTTCTAATTCTTTTAGATGGTTGGTTAGCTTGTTTATTTGAGATTTTTGTTGTTTTTTGAGGAAGACATGTATCACTATGGACTTCCCTCTAAAAACTGCTTTTGCTGCATCCTGTAGATTTTGTGTAGTTGTGTTTTCATTGTCATTTGTCTCAAGGTACTTTTTAATTTCCTTTTTGATTTTCTAGTTGACCCACTGGTTTTTTAGTAGCATGTTGTTTACTCTCCATTTGATCGTTTGTTTTTCATTTCTTTTCCCATGGTTGATTTCTAGTTTCAGGCCATTGTGGTCAGGGAAGATGCTTGAAATAATTTCTATACTCTTAAATTTTTTGAGGTTAGTTTTGTGCCCTAGTACATGGTTAATTCTAGAAAATGTTCCATGTGCCCTTGAAAAGAATATGTATTTTTTTAATGTAATGTCCTGAAAATATCAATTAAGACTAACTGTTCTGTTGTATCATTTAGGATCCTGTTGCCTCATTGATTTTCTGTCTAGATCTGTTCATTGATGTGAGTGGGGTGTTAACATCTCCTACTATTGTTGTATTCCCATCAATTTCTCCCTTTATGTCTGTTAGTATTTGGGGTTTTTTTGTTTTGATTTTTGTTTTGTCTTTTTTGCAGTAC